GAGACAGAGAGAAAAATGGACCCCAAGTTCCCAGGGTCTACAAAGCTTTGGGGCCTTCAAAAGTGTAAAACCCCAAAACATCTGAAAATCCGAAGACTGGAGTAAAATTTGTATGCTCTAAAATTAAATATATCCAAGATATTACTACTTTATTATGTGTGTATTTATTGCAACTAACTCTCTGACTTATTGAAGTATATAAGTCCAGGGAATCCCTTTAAAACCCTAATTATCTGATTACACAACAAGGGTTTACAAGGATCTTAATGAAACCCTGCAACAACCAGCAGGGGAAACAAAAACTAAGAGGACATGAAATGAAGATTATTTGAAATGATGCTGCTATGACAATAAAAATAATCAAGTTTATTTAATGCTCATATCTCTTCCATCATTCAAAAAGATCTTAACATTTTGGTGGTCCTGGCAGAAATTTGTCCATGATACTACCTACAGGTTTTATGGCAGCATTCATTTCATTAAAACTACAAAGAAACACAAGACTTTAACCAAAACGTTGGAAATCCGAACATTTGAGGAATATATGCATGTGTTTGTATGTAAAAGTTTGATTTTTGTACCTTATGATTTATGCTAATTGTTTTTATTTAGTATCTTATGACTATCATTGAGTGTTGTATCTTATGCTTCATGATGATTGTATTATGATTATGATTGTGGATTGTATGTACACTGAGAGCTTATGCACTGGAGACAGATTCCTTGTGTGTCCAGTCACAGTTAGCCAATAAAGAATTCTATTCTACAGACCTATCAGCCTGACCTCAATACCTGGGAAGATCCTGGAAAAGATAATCAAACAACGAATCAACGAACACCTAGAGGCAAACAAAGTCATTACTAAAAGCCAACATGGGTTTGTCAAAAATAGATCATGCCAGACAAATCTTATTGCATTCTTTGACCAAGTGACAAAATCAGTGGATGAGAGGAATGCTGTGGATATAATTTACTTGGACTTCAGTAAGGCATTTGATAAAGTACATCACAACCTACTACTTGACAAGATAGAAAAATGTGGGGTAGACAGCATCACCACCAGATGGATCCGTAGCTGGCTGACCGGCCGTACTCAGCGAGTGGTCCTCAATGGAACCACATCTACATGGAGGGAAGTGNGACCCCATTTGGGGTCGATCGACCATTTCACGGGGGGCGCCAAGCAAGGCTGTCCGCCATTTTTTTTGTCCGCCATTTTTTCCCCTTTTCCGGCGGGTGCCTTACCTCCCTTGGGCTGGGCCAGCTGGTGGTCAGCCTGCTCCGTCTCTGCTGCTTGCCAGCTACGCCTCAGCCGGCGCAGGGGGCAGAACCACACATGCACGGCGCTCCCGGGCAGGGAAAGTCCTCGACTTACGATCGGTTGGGTAGTCCTCGACTTATGACCGGTTTAGTCCTCAACTTACGACCGGTTTAGTCCTCGACTTACGACCGGTTGGGGTCGCGGCATTAAAAAGGTTGAGAACCACTGGTTTACAAGGATCTTAATGAAACCCTGCAACAACCAGCAGGGGGAACAAAAACTAAGAGGACATGAAATGAAGATTATTTGAAATGATGCTGCTATGACAATAAAAATAATCAAGTTTATTTAATGCTCATATCTCTTCCATCATTCAAAAAGAGCTTAACGTTTTGGTGGTCCTGGCAGAAATTTGTCCATGATACTACCTACAGGTTTTATGGCAGCATTCATTTCATTAAAACTACAAAGAAACACAAGACTTTAACCAAAACATTGGAAATCCGAACATTTGAGGAATATATGCATGCGTTTGTATGTAAGAGTTTGAGAAGCAATGTGTGTTCTGTTTTTTCCCCTACTGAAATCATAATTATGGTTTCCATGGACTGTTGCTTAAATAATAAATATGCATAAAAATGATTTAACATCAAATTCAGTTTGATTTTCATTGTATGTCAATAAGGTAAAGCATGAACCTTGTCCATTCTTAAAGATTCATAGGCAAAAGCACATTTTATCCTTCTTTGTAAAAATTAACAGAAAGCTGATGGTCAACTAGAAATTGCCTAGTAATTTCTCCGTCCCATACTTTAAAAGATTTCTTTCTATATAATATAATTAAAAATTGATACATTATAATTGATGTTTATATAACTTTGGATTTATGTTTCCCATTTATTCATAGATAGACAAATATTCCATAGGCACAGCTAGACATAAAATTATCCTTCTCATCTTTCCTATTACCTATTCCTTTAGCATCTTATGACTATCACTTTGATTTTTGTACCTTATGATTTATGCTAATTGTTTTTATTTAGTATCTTATGACTATCATTGAGTGTTGTATCTTATGCTTCATGATGATTGTATTATGATTATGATTGTGGATTGTATGATTGTACACTGAGAGCTTATGCACTGGAGACAGATTCCTTGTGTGTCCAATCACAGTTAGCCAATAAAGAATTCTATTCTACAATAAAAATAATGTAAAGAAAAAGAGTCATATGAAATATAATGCAATGATATCTATTGAATTAGGGTGGTGGATGCAGAATCTACCATTCATAATGCAGCTATAGTATATTTGAAAGAATTTAATCTTTAATTAAATTACAACTCACAAGATGAAATTTTCCATCTTTTGATTTCCAACCCCTTATATATCTTGGTAGCAATGGTTATCTAGCATAACAATAAAAAGTTTCCTTTATTGTTTACTGAACAGTGATGAGATTCAATTACTAATATCATTCTTTATGACTTCATTCACATAAAGCCAAAAATACATATATTGGTTCATACTGTCCATAGGCAGATCTCTGTGTAACTTCAGTTCTGCTATGGTAAATTTATGTCATATAAAAAGGAAAACAAACCCTCCCTTTTTACGACCCTGTAATCCCTTAATTATGCGGGGTAGAGTCAGGGGAGACTGGATGGAGCTGAGTGTTTACTGGCCGGATGCCCTTCCTGTCACCACGCGGACTTCAGAGCAGATATTTTTTCTTTGCGTTCTAGGAAAGGAATATCTGCCACTACCTAGGATTGAACTCTCAACCTTCCAAATGGAAGGCAAGTGTCTTCACCACTAGGCCACCACACTCATATAAAAAAGAAAAAATATATTTGCAAATATGCACGTGCAAAGAAGCCAGAAGTAACGGTAGCCCTATGGCATGTACCTGCCTTGTCCCCCCCCATGTTAGTCTCTTTATCGATGCCCGTTGATTACATATTTTCTCAAGCTTTTAAAACATACATGTTACAGGCAGTCCTCGAGTTACGACACAATTGAGCCCAGAATTTATGTTGCTAAGTGAAAAACATGTTAAGTGAGTTTTGTTCCACTTTACAACCTTTCTTGCCACAGTTGTTAAGTGAATCAATGCAGTTGTTCAGCTAATAACACGATTGTTGGGTGAATCCAGCTTCCCCATTGATTTTGCTTGTCAGAAGGTCGCAAAAGAGGATCACCTGACCCCGGGCTCTGCAATCGTCATAAATATGAACCAGTGATCATGCATCCAAATGTAAATCACGTGACCATGGGGGTGTTGCAATGGTCGTAAGTGTGGAAAACAATCATAGGTCACTTTTTTCAGTGCCGTAACTTCGAACGGTCACTAAATGAACTGTTGTAAGTCGAGGACTACCTGTATTCAGTTGTGCTTATATTATTCTCATCTATTTCTTTTTCTTGTGATTTCTTGAAGAATAACAAGCGGCTCAATGACATATTTTACCATTTTAATTTGAGATGTCCTCATAGCAGAGTTAGATTAGAAGCACGATAGAGTATAAATTCAAGAAGTAATTACCAATGTAGTAGTAATTCTTGCTAACTACAAGCAAGCACCAATATTGTAGAATGTGGCTCCTTACATCCTATTCAAGAGCAAAGTAAAGGTCTTGACTGAAAAAAAGCCTGAATGTTCCTGATGTGAAAAACAAAAGAGTTCTCAAATACCTCTGCAGGATTTATCTCTTAATCATTTTCTGGCTGAGAAAAATTCATGCAATATATGGACTAAGCATTTAAAAAGAGCATATAAGCAAGATAGACATGAAGGAAGGAACTAATGAATGCATGAACAAGCAATTTTGATGGTTATAGCAAATTCAGCAAGGAGAACATACAACAAACCAAAAGAGTGGCTGAATGGATGCATATAATAGAAAAACAAAAATCTGAATAGATTCCTCATCTGCATAGAGATGCCAGTTTTTCTCAAATTCACAATCTGAACTACATATTTATATACGGTAAACGGAAAACAAATACTGTTCACTATTTAGTCTTGAAATCTGTGACTAGGAGATATATCATCCCTGCCCAAGCAACGTACTAAATTTACATAGATTATGAAGTGGAAGGACAAGAAAACAAGAAGATGGAAAGCTAACGTGGGCTGACTTAAAAATAATAACCAAGAAACTGAATAACACCCTAATCATCAGCTTAATCTCCTCCAAAACTAACTGCCCGATAGTTTGTATTTATGACAGAAATATATTTTCTTTTCTGTTATGCATCCAAAAAGAAAAAAGAGCTAAAGTAGAAGTTTTTTTCAAGCCTATCTAAACAAGATGCCCCAAAATGAATTTTCAGCTGATTGATACATAGCAATTCTTTCTTTTTAGCATCCCACAAATATTTCCAAATAGTTCCAAATCTTTTATAGAAGGAAGGAAGGAAGGAAGGAAGGAAGGAAGGAAGGAAGGAAGGAAGGAAGGAAGGAAGGAAGGAAGGAAGGAAGGAAGGAAGGAAGGTTCTTTCTTTCTTTCTTTCTTTCTTTCTTTCTTTAGGTTTTGTGATCGACGTGTCTTTTGTCTTATTAACGTATCCTTAATATTTAGATACTTTACGAACCTTGACCCTCTATAAAGACTTGTTTTTGGTACGGACCAACTACAAATCTATTTGAGTCAATGAAGGTAAATATGTATAAAACAATTAATACTAGGGTTTCTATTTTCCTTGGGGATAGAGAGAGTCTTGTTTATGACTTACTTGTGCTTGCTTGCATAGTTTCAAAGGATGGAGCGTTTCTTGATAGAAAAGCTGATGATAATCCTGAAGGTCAAACCAAAAATATGTGCTGTTCTTCCATAGCTACAGATGGAAGAGATGGGAGGAAAGATATTACTACCAAAGTTTTCATTGTTTAGTGCAGTCTTGCTCAATTTGGTAACTTTAAGTTTTATGGACTTCAACTCCCAGACTTCTCCACCCAGGGTTGTCTGGGGAATTCTGGGAGTTGGAGTCCACATATCTTAAAATTGCCAAGGTTAAGAAACGTTAGGTTAGTGTCCTAAATTTCAAGAGTTCTTCTAGGCAAATGAACACAGTGATGATGAATACTTCCCACCCACCCACCGCCCCCATTAAATGTGGATAGAATCCTTGCCAATTATATTGTATTTAAGGGTGGGACTGCTATTTTAAGACAGTAAATCCTGTTTCAGAAACACTTCACAAATGCTGCTGTGCTTAAAAGACCAGGAAGGAAGACAAATGCCGGGGAATGTTTGCTTCAACCCAGTGCATAGTAGCATGTTGGCTTGATAAAACAAAAGAAGCTCAAATGCTGAATACCTAGGACAGCATCATTAGAAGGTGGGGAAGCACTAAAAATTAGCTACTAGAAGGAGTGCAGAATCATAAGGGAACATTAGCAATTTATTCTCTTTTTTGTATGTGTGAAAATGGGTAATTGATATGGGCTTATACATACGGTAGTTTGAAGGGGTAGCTAGAAGCAAGCTTCACTGGAGATCTATTATCTACTGAGCATACACACAGTCCCTCTCACTGTGTTCTGATCTCCAAGCAGATCGGATAGAGTTAAACAAAGAAACCCAAGTAAGTCTTGGGTGGGTTTTAAAGTAAATTCAGATGGCTGGGAGAAAAAGAGTTGGACATCTGGAAGAATCCCAAGGGACATTCAGTTCCTTAAGATTAATTATAAATCATATTTAATTTAGTACAGTTTGAGTAGTATTTTTGATACTGGCAGAATGACAGCATGTATAAAGATACAACAACTGAAATACATTCTGTATATTTTATTGTACACTCTGCATATAATTGGTAATTAAATTCTTAATGTAAATTAAGGGCCTAATGCTGGGAAAGATTGAGGGCAATAGAAGAAGGGGACGACAGAGAATGAGGTGGCTGGATGGAGTCACTGAAGCAGTAGGAGTGAGCTTAAATGGACTCCAGAAGATGATAGGGGACAGGAAGACCTGGAGGAACGTTGTCCGTGGGGTCGGAATGGGTCGGACACGACTTCGCAACTAACAACAACTACAACAACAACAACAATGTAAATTGCAAAGTTTAAACACGTTGGGATGGAATAAAGCAATGGTTCATAATGTGCATATAAAATGTATGTTTTGACAGCATTTTTTTTAGCAATTACTGATATTATTATCATGACCAACAGGATAATAATACATTTTTATGAAGTATCCCTCAACTACATTTTACTAAAGTTTGGTATTATTGCTCAGAGCTAAGTGTTTCCAGAGGGACAAAAAAAGCTTTATGAATCTTGTTAGTTCACTATCTCCTCTTTTTAAAACGAAAAAAAAAATCAATTTTTAATACTATTATTTTAAAATACTGAACCAACCAGCTGACATAACATGTACATTTTGACCATAAAAATTGGACTATACTTTATTTTGATTTTAGTGAATCTACAGTAGTGGGAATCATTCATATAGCTTGATCCTACTTAATTGCTTTAAAAGTGTATAATTGCTTAATACATAATTGCTTTAAAAGTATATAATTTAACATTTAAGACCTGCTGGACTCTTGTATACAAACATATGCATTATGTTTGTATACAAGAAATATATTCAGCTTTAATGAAACATGTTTCCAAGTAAGCATACTCAGGGTTAAAACACTGCAAATCTTTTACCTGTAAAAGTCCCATAATTTTCAATAGGTGTCCTTTGCAGATAAGCATTTCTGACCCTTTCTAAATATTTTGTTGGAAATAAGATCCAGTGAAATAAATGGGGTGAAATCCAGTGAAATTACGTTGTCACGTAATTATGTTTAGAATTTAAATACCATGCACTCTTCTCTAAAATAGACAGCAATCCCCCACTGCAATTGCACAAGATACCCTGCTATTTCTTGAAACATCTTCAATCTGAAGACACAGGCATATATTTATATCAATTTATGTATTCTAGTTTTTTCAGTGTCACCTTTTTCTTCCATTTTTAGTGAAAATGGAATAGCTATGTTGACCCTAAAGACAGAATTTACTACTTTTCAAGAAGAAATTTGTTTCCATATTATTAATAACCTCCTTTATATGGCTGTACAATAACCTGCTGCGAATAGCACCTTTTCTGAAATAGAGAATAGTTTTGTTTGGAAGAATTAAGTATGCTGACTAGAAGAAGGCTACAACAGATAATCCAGAGCCACATGAAGCTGAAATGATACTAAAACCATGCAAGGCAACACTTGTTCAAATGTTTAAATTCTCACAATGGAAAAACTTTGTGGAAATATTTCAGAACCTTCTTCTTAAGTGGGTATGATGAAAACCACTGTACTAAACTAACCCCACTAGCTTCAGCCAGCATATCTATTTAAAATACTAGTATTCAGATGTAATTCACTTAAATGTGTGAAACTGTAGGTTTTGAAATCAATCTTCAATTTGAAGCTAAATTGCTGATCTTTGGCCAGTCACTATTCTGACTTTTACAAACCATTTTTCCTCCTTAAAGCTGTGGAAAGACTCCAAATATTAATGAAAATCCAACCAAGAAATCCACCAATAAGACGTTTTTCTTACCCTATCACCTGATTTCTCGCAGAAGTCGGTGAAGACGTAGCCTGCTCTGTTCTCCAAGTAAAGAGATTGAAGCATTCTTTCCATTTTAGAACTTCCTAGTTCGGAAAAATCTGGGGCGATTTTACCCTGAATAACAGAAGACAACAATTCATCAAGATAATGCAGTTTCATTGTGTCTTGGGTAAAGCTGTCTTTGTAACTGCTGTTGTTTTTATTTGAGAGAGAAAGCACAATCAGATATCAAATTTGTTTTGCTGTTCTTACTATAACCTTCATAGGTTTCTCCCCCCCCCCATTTGTTATATACTTTGGTCTTAAATTTGTCTGCCTCCCACTTCCTTTGCCCCTGTCTTCTTCCGACTAACAGGTTTTCCCTTTTCGAGGGGTACAAAAAGTCATGTGGGTGATGGCAGTTTTTAAATTCTGTTGATGCTATGATTATAGTTAGTTTGATCTTTTTCACTTCTTTGCAATAATTAATAACGAAGGGACCCTGGAAGGCTCTGTAATTTATCAGATTTGCTGTTTTGTTAAAGGGGACTTGTAGCAGCTGAGTCTCATTTAAAAATAAAAATAAAAACTAGCCGTAGGGTTCATTTTGTGTAGCTTTTTCCTTAAACTTTCTTGACATATGTCAAGTGGACATATCTTGATTATGGTTTTAGCTGCAACAGTTAACTAACCATAGATAGTTAGATAGATTTCTGCAGGGCTTTTTTTCTCATAGAACGCCCAGAATGGAGTTCCGGCACCTTTTTTGGATGGAACTTTGTAGGGTAGGCAAGGCGGGTTGTATGATGTGTGTGAGTTCCGGCACTTTTTTTTTTATAGAAAAAAAGCACTGCATTTCTGATATCTGCTGGTTCTTAATAGACCTGCCAAATTTTAATCAAGTTCTCATCACAGATTTGTGTCTGGTGACAGACTCAATCCAGAATCATGGTACTAAATTTTAGATAGCAATATTCAATTTGAAGACAAAAAGAAGGAATTTTTCAGCCTTTGGAAACAAACATGGATGAACTGAGAGAAAGATTTGTCAGGAAAAGATTAATCCATGAGGAAAAGAAAGGATTAATGAATACTCATGAATATGCTCCATTGCAAGATCATTTCAGCATTGGTAGGCAATAAATTTTTCATTTAGCTATTATATTAGCTGCACACCAATAGGAGGCACTACATGTTTTTTATATTGTTTTACTTCTTGATTGGGAATTGCCCAAAATTTAGTATAAGATGTGGTAGCTATAAAAATGTTTAAAATCAATCAATCAATAACTAGTTCCATTCTGGTATTCTTCAGATATAGATGTCTTCCATACTACATGTTCTATATTTAATTCGTCAACGAGATTTGAATCTACAAGAAAAAAGAAAGCGCATCTGCATAACTTCTATAAATTTTGCATTTGCTTTTATTTGTTGTTGTCCCAAATATATGAACATATTAGTTTTCATATGCCTTTTTGAAACAGTTAAACTCTTGATGTTCACGGAATAGCCTTTTTCCAGAAGAATGGCTATGGTCAATTCTCCGTCACCCAAAGTAGTTCTCACTTAGACATCCCCAATTTTTAAAAAAAGAATCCTACCTCTTCACAGAGAAGATATTTAATGCCACAGTTCTTGTTACTCAAATGGTACTTACAGGGATCGTTTCTGCATAGGTGTATTTTCGATCTAGTTGTGGTTTCAGGTAATCCATTCTATCACTAAATGTCATATGAGACACATTGCTGCACGCTGTTGCTGGCCTACACAATGAAAAACAAATAGGCACAAAAGGACCTTGAGGGTAATCAGAGAAATTAAATCATGGTTAGTGTTGTTGATTCTGCACCTAAATAATCAGTACCATCACTTTTAACTGCTTCAAGGTTATAAGAAAGTATATAGAGATTTAATTCTTTTATCTTTTTCTTAAACCTTTTGTATGCATCATCTTTGTGATGAGATACTATGTTTCATGAATAAAGAAACTATTCTATTTTTAATGGATAGAAACATTTGCATATGCATGGATTTTTGCAAGTTCAGAGAACTAAGAAATAATAATGTATATGTAATGTATAGTAGCTGCGCAACTTATTCAATAGTAGGAAGGTGTACTGAATTCATAATTCCATTATAATTTCCATGTTTTAAAATTTGAAAACAAAATTATATGCACAAAATGTACTGTGTGTGCTGAGAAGCGGGTTATTCTTGCAGTTTGAAAACTTACAAATCAGATAACTGTGTTTTGAATTCATTGTAAAGTCATTTGCATGCCAGTAAATCGTAATAAAAATACACATTCTGATGGCAGGGGGCAGTTTGTTCACGTCAAGTCTGCAGAAAGATCACCTTCACTGATGATCTGCTGTGGGGCAGCAGACCCAGCATTTACCAAAATCTGACCAGGTAAACAAAATGAAGTTTTCTTTTGGGGAAAATGCATGGCTGGGTTTCATGTGCTTCAGCAGTCTTGATGCCAAGATAAGGGAGAGGGGATTGGCTGTAATCATAAAGGATTTTGTTCTTGAAATAGTGGGGTGTGAATGCTTATATGTCAGACTGAGCTGCAGAGACAGGCTTAGAATCCTTTCGGGGTAACAACAACCCTAATATCTGGCAGGATCCTGCCACCCAGACTTCTAGAAGTGATTTTCAGGTTGATGGTAGAGACCTTTTAGTATTGGGGAACTTCAGCCTCTGTGCCCTGGGGACTGGCTCTGGTAAAGCTCAGGCGTTTCCCATCACCCCGTTACTATAGTCAGATAATGCCCTGACCCAATTGTGATTGATAGCCACCCATGATCTCCATGGTGTGAGGAAAGCTATTTGGATCGGTCCAATTGGCTTCAAAGGGGTGCTTGGAGAATTATTCACCTTTGTGGTGAGCACTTAGGTTCAATGCCTGGTGAGCAAAGGACAACAGGAGGCAAACCAAGCACTGGACATTATTGCTCCCAAGTGGCCTCTTTTTATTTAGTGCCTTTGAGTCCTCTGGGAATCAAGCACCAGAAATGGCACTTGGAATGCTTGTGGAAGAAAAGGAGAAATCAACTTGACCAGACATGGGCACTTGTTTACGTCTGCGCCTACATCATGGTTGTGGGAGGGGATGTGTACCTAACTTCTCCTCCCTCTTTGCACTGGTGTGCTGTTGTCCAGTGGCTTTGTTTAAGGTGACAAATTCCCTACTGGGAAAGGGTCAATATAGAGCAGGGCTTTTCAACCGGTGGTACACGTACCACCTGTGGTACTTTGCTACGTGGCAGGTGGTACGCGACTGCTAGCCAAGTGTAGCGAGGGAGGGGAATGAGCCGAAGCAACCCAAGCCTGAGGGAGAGGCAGCTGCAGCTGCAGGACTGTCTGGGCTCGGCAGAAGCTCCAGGAGCCGGCAGGGCTCCAGCTGATTGGCACTTCCGGAAGCAGCTGGAGCTGGAGGTGAACTGGAAAAAAAGGGGGGCAAGAGAGGAGAAGCTATAAAAGGAGGTGGTTTGGGCAGGAAAGGGAAAAAAAGACAACAGGAAAAAGTTTAATCCCTTTAAACAAATGTAATTAGTTTTATCCCCTTTAACTGAGTCTGTTTATGGCTTTTAGAAAGTTTTCTTTCAAGGTAAACAGGCTTAATTTAAGACTAAAGCTTTTCACAATTGCCAGAGCCTTTCAGACTCGAGTTGCAACATTGTGACACTTGACACGCCTGAGGCAATTCAAAGAAAAAAAAAACCTGGAGTTTATGTGTTTCTTTATTTTGTGAGCCTTTCTTGCTTTGCACTTGATTCCTGTGTCTTTAAGGCTACTGGGAAAGGATTGGGGGTGCATTCTTACTACACTGTGGAAAGAGCTCAGAAAGGAGAGAGGAAGTAGAGCCGACTAGCTAGCTCAGGGGTCTACAAACTTAGCAACTTTAAGACCTATGGACTTCAACTTCCAGAATTCTTCAACCAGCCTTGATGGCTGAGGAATTCTGGGAGTTGAAGTCCACAAGTCTTAAAAGTGCCAAGTTTGAAGACCCCTGATCTAGCTGGTAGTGATGCATATTAATAAACATGGATAAATTCATCATACATTTGTCAGTGCAAAGGGAAAGTGATTCAGCAAAGGAATAGCCACCAAAGGAATTAAAACTGGTACTTTTTCCCTTTTTTACTACAGTTTGTAATATTTTATTAGATTATAGAATAAAATACAAAAATACAAAAGCAAATAGTACGACACAGTGGGGAGGAAAAGGAGGGGAAGTGAGGGGGAGAAGGGACAAAGAACAGACTTCCTTTGTTGCAGTAGAAGGAAGCATTAACATTGAACCTCAACTTTTTACTTTTCTATAATATTATAAACTAGCCATTTCTATAACAACAAATGAATCTAATCAGTAAAACCCAAAATCTCCCCCTTTTTTAAGTCATCATGTTTTTGACACCTTGCTAAGCACTGGTGGTACTCAAATATTGGCATGTCCTAAAAGTAGTACAATCTGTGGAAAGGTTGAAAAGCCCTGCTCTACTACTTGTTCTTTGGACTACTGCACATTCTGGCCCTTGTGAGGAGCAGGTAGACAGGTAATTGCTAGGATCTAGGAGACTGTGAATACCTTTCTGTGGAAGAGGATGTACTACAGTCTTCTGTAGAGCTAGATATATTCCTTCTGAAGAGGCCATTTCTGGATCCAACTGATTTATATTACTATAATTTAATCTCCAACCTCTCCTTTGTGAAGAAGGTTGTTGAGACAATGGTGATAGACCATAGGTGTCAAACTTGATTGCGTCATGTGATATATCATGACATATCGTGACATTTTTTTCCCTTTGTGGGCGTGGCCTGTGCATGATGCATCCAGCCCATGGGCCGCCAGTTTGACACCCTTGTGATAGTCTATTGCAGTACCCTGAAAGAAGCAGATTGTTTGATCTCTTACCAGTAAAGGTTCAGGCCTTGATATGGGACAGAGATCGCACTGGTTACATTCAACCTCTGGCAGTGGGCAGAGTTAGCCTGCAATACTGCTTTCTGACCCCTACACCACCACAGTTCCTGACAACCTCTCCCACATCCCATGACCTTGTTAAGCATGCTGCTCCATCAAAGTCATTGTTTGGTCTGGCTAAGGATGAAGTATGTCTATTCATAGAAAAGTGCCCATCTTCTCTTACATGAGCATTTCAGTTCTTACCTTTTTCTAATATTTTCCAAGCTTATTAAGTCATAAGGATCTTTCTGAACAGCAGTTTGACACTGAGGTAGAACTGCAGATAACAGCCTGGTAGATCTTTGGGGACTGATCTCCGTCACCGCTCCTTTTGAAAAAGTCGGGGTTAATCCAGTTTCTCCTCTCTAATTAAAGTGATGGAAAGGAGTGAAAGCATCTGAGAAATAATTCTTGCTTCTCCATGTCTATTTTCATTTGATATCTTCTGCATCATATTATAGATAATTCATTTTGATAATTATACACATATTATTTAAAAAGCAATTTTAGTGTATATCAAAATAAAAAAAAACTTGTTTTTCCAGTTCAGATGAATGTATACTTTAAAAAGTGTAGGGTTGGATTAAAACAATAGAAGCCCATATTCGAGAACAATCTAAGCCATGAAGTTGCAAGGAGTACCACTGGAATTGATTGCTGTAACTCTGGTTATTCTACAGCAGACATGTTAAACACAAGGCCCGGGGGCCGGATGTGGCCCGCAAAGTGGTTTCATGTGGCCCGCAAAGCCATCCTCGAAACAGTGAGGGAACCGCCCCCTCTGCCTAGGCCCTGGCCCAGGCCAGCCAGGAGCTAATGTACAATTTTGTGGTGGACATCTATGCTGAAACGCATTCAGTCTTAGCTCCAAAAGCACCCCCCTGCATGGCCTGAGAGGAACAGTGAGGCTCCTCCAGTGGACCATGCCTTGGCACTTGCCCTGGTCCCATCCCCTTCTGCCAGAGACCCTCAGATCTATCCCACTCCTGCCCGGGCGAACGATGTAGAGCTGGCCACACCCACCCAGTAGGCCACACCCACTCCATCCACATCCACCCAGTAGGCCGCACCCACCCTGGCCACACCCACCCGGCCCCCTGAGGGCAACCGCAATGCTGATGCAGCCCACAATGAAATTGAGTTTGATACCCCTGATCTACAGATTCATTGTTCTGGGAACAAAACTGCAGGAGAGAGTGCAATATAGGTCACCTTGAATTCCTTGAGGAAAGTCAAGGTGTAACAACAAAGGTATGCAAACCTGCATAGCTATAGTCAAGACAGAGATGTGGCTTTTTCATTTGCAGAAGTAATGTGTCTTGAAATCCCAACTATAAGAATGATGAAATTACAGGCAATGTCTCTCTCTCTCTCTCTCTCTCTCTCTCTCTCTCTCTCTCTCTCTCTCCCTTCTCTCCCTCCCTCCCTCTCTCTCCCTTTTAAGATTTATTTCAAATCCTTGTGACGCATTTTGTTGCTCTCTAATAGATTGCAGGATGCAGAAGAAAAAAACCCACCTCGTAAGTCGAGGACTACCCACCACAGGTAGTCCTCGACTTACGACCACAATTGAGCCCAACATTTATGTTGCTAAGTGAAACATTTGTTAAGTGAGTTCTGCCCCATTTATGACCTTTCTTGCCACAGCTGTTAAGTGATTCATTGCAGCTGTTAAGTGATTCATTGCAGTTGTTAAGATAGTAATGTGGTTGTTAATGGAATCTGGCTTCCCCATTGACTTTGCTTATCAGAAAGACGCAAAAACTGATCACATGATCCCAGATTACTGCAACCGTCATAAATATGAACCAGTTGCCAAGTGTCTGAATTCTGATCACATGACTGTAAGTTGAGGACTACCTGTATTAAGCACACATATCTAAAGTGTAAAAGTAAAAAATATCACACAGTACGGTGGTAGAGATATAGAAAGTGAACTAATGACACCTCGTGGTCACCCATATTTTTGCAGTCTAGATATGGTACAGGTAGTCCTTGACTTATGACCAATCACTTAGCAATCGTTTAAAGTTCAAAGGGACTTACAAAAGAGATTCAAAGTTCTGATGGCTATCTCCTCCCACACAGTCATGTGACTTCATTTTGGGCACTGAGTAATTGGCCTGCATTTATAGCAGTTTGCAAAATCCCTCAGTCAAGTGATCAGAGTTTATGACATTTTTTTCCAGAAACCAAGGACAACTTCCAGTTTCTGGCAAAAAAAAAAAAAAAAATCCATAGAGAGCAATGGGTTTGCTTAACGACTCTGGCGTTCTGCTAACAACCACCACAATAAACGTTGTAAAATCGAGCAGGGTCATATGGTGACCCACTTAATGACTGCCATCATTTACGATTAAAATAGTGGTGTCAGTTACGGCCATAGGTTGAGGACTGTATTCCAACACTACATTATATAGCTTATATACATTATATAAGTTGATTATGACTCTCCTCTTATTTGCAAGCCCAACCTTTCAATCATACAGTCTTTCCTTCAGTGCTTCTTATATTGGTAAGACAGACACTCTTTCTTTTGCCAATGTATAATGTAACAAGCAATACCTGATAACATGGAGATGTTATTTTTGGCATGCAAGATTTCGGCCTCAGGGGTAGCAGGGACACCATCTGTGGGAAAGGATCCACATCAATTCGTGGTTTCTGTTGCCGAGCATGCCAGATTTTCAGCTTGGTAACGGTGGCCTGAATGGCAGCTTTATGAGTGACACAAAATCGGGGACCCCTGAAAAAAGGAAGACTGGTTATGGCTAGATCTTATATTTGGGGGCTTAAAGAAAGTAAAAAAATGATCATCAAAAGACTGAACAACATAAATTGTAACAATGAAATAAAACTGTTTCCCTTTTCCTTGTGAAGCTACTGTTTTGTCCATTCCTAACAATGTGAACTGTTTTAATTATTATGACCTCTTTCAAAGATTCTCATAGATTATTTTGCAAGAAGAAAAATAGGGCAACAGAACTAATAGAATGATTATATGAAAAATTAAAGCACACAGAAACTTTTCCAAAAAAATTTCCCACAAACTTCTAACACTCACAAAATAAAATATACCAGACTTTAGAATTCGCCTAAAATTATTTTCTAGTACAGCCTTAATAGAAACCAGCAAAGCCTGGAACTCTTGAGTTTAAACAAGAAGAAATATCCCTGTTGGAGTCAAGACCATTTAAAGTAGGGGCATTCTAGTCAAGAATTGCTAGTAGAAATGGCTTAAGCATATAGATGGTGCTAGGTATAGTGGATCAACATTTTCCCATCTAGACAGAAAAAGATTTTCAAGTAACTTGATCAAATAATTTGGAGTTGCTTTTGTTTATGATATCCCTATTTTGGGCATTTCATATTTGGGGTTTTTTTTCATTTTAGTTTCATCTTTCATATACGGGACATAAAAGATTGAAAATATTTTTGTGAAATGTATTTGTTTGTTTGTTTGAGTTTTATCCTTTATTACTTTACCATACCAACAGCCTGAGGTGTTCGCCCTCTGAGCAAATAAAATTTCTTTGTATCAAAAAGAAATCTAGAGATCATCCATTTGATTCCATAAAGGAGACCTCCACAGAATACTAGGGGAATCTGGAGGGATTTCACATATATTTTTAGAGTTGAGTCCTCAGGAAATGTGGGAAAGATCAAGGAACGGTTGCTGGAATTGGGTATGTCTAGTTTAATGAAGAGAAGGACGAGGGGGGACATGATAGCAGTATTCCAATATCTCAGGGGCTGCCACAAAGAAGAGGGAGTCAAGCTATTTTCCAAAGCGCCTGAAGGCAGGATGAGAAGCAACGGATGGAAACTAACCAAGGAGAGAAGCAACCTAGAACTAAGGAGAAACTTCCTGACAGTTAGAACAATTAACCAGTGGAACAACCTGCCTCCAGAAGCGGTGAATGCTCCAACACTGGAAGTTTTCAAGAAGAAACTGGACAGCCATTTGTCCGAAATGGTATAGGGTTTCCTGCCTGAGCAGGGGGTTGGACTAGATGACCTCCAAGGTCCCTTCCAACTTTATCATTATTATTATTAAGTTCTGTGCTTCAAATGGAGATTTTTACCTACTAAAGTGTGTCATTCCTCTTTTCTTAAAGATTTAAGATTACATTTTTGAATTGTAAGAACTCAGACCTTCAATCTATCAAGCAAAAACCACTGTCATCCTTTTTATAGACTATCTTTTGAAAAACATCATGAAAATAAAGGAATTATGGACAGAGAAATTTTCTGTCAGTAGGAACAATTATTTAGTGGAACGGCTTGCCTTGCCTAGAAATTGTGGGTGCTCCAACACTGGAGATTTTTAAGAAGAGATTGGACATTCCAGAGGTGCTTTTCCAAAAGGCAACTGGACTTTCTTGGGTATTTTTTTTGAAAATATTTCGCTTCTCATCCTAGAAGCTTCTACAGTTGAATAGGGGTTGAGCAGGGGGTAGGGCTAGCAGACCCTCCAAGGTCCCTTCCAGTTCTGTTATTCTGTTATTCTAGTATTCTGTTCTGTTATTCAGATCCCTAGATCATAAGAGGATAGCCTTTGGTCTGTGACCCCAACACTCTAGAGCCACAGACAAAGATGCAACCTTTGAAACCCTTTTTTTCTTGTGATGGTGGAAGCATTTTGAGGTGGTAAGTTAAATAGTAGAACAAATGGTTTAAACTTTGAAAAGGTTTCAGGCATCAATTTTACTCCTTAAAATTCCACCACTAAAATGTACAAAAGGGAGTCTGAAATTTTCAGTCCATCTTAATCTGGGACATCATTTTGTCACCAGCAACACCCCCGCAGCTTTATATAGGACACAAAAAACAAGTGTAATTCCTGGGCTGAAAAAGTTAGCTCTCTTTTCTTTAATATGTAATAGTTCAATAAGAAATGTTGATTTCTAACTGCTGGGCAAAGAAAATACTCCAGTCTTCACCAAATGATCTGCTAGAATCCCTGGTCTGCATTAATTCAGATATAAATTTATTCTTCTATATGGAGATCATTCCAGTTTATGGTTTTTGGACAGCAAAGCTGCAAATGAACCTTATTTGTGGCTTTATTTTACAACTAGCTCTAATTAATTAATTATAGAATTCAAGTCTGAAGCCTGCCCTCACTAGGCTGAGCATTCTATATATCAGAAGTAATATCTTGAAAGAAACTTGGAAAATCATGGAAAGCCAATGTCAATATCTCAAAAGAAATACACTTGGGCAAGTCATCCTGTTCCCAACTGAATAGCTGCATTTGCATTAGCTGAATGGATAAACGACATCGCTAGAATGAAATAGTGCATTATGAGATACAAACCTGCAATTCATGCAGATGATTCAATTACATGATCTACAGAGTCCTTGGTGGTCTCTGAGCTTGGTTGTTTTCTTTTAGATATTTCATTATTCTATTAGATAACATCATCAATACAGATGATGTAACACACTTGGGTCATGAAATGTCTGCAAAACAACAACCAAGCTCAGAGACCACCAAGGACCTCACAGTTCAACTCTGAGCTATAAATATTTTTTTTTTCTAATGATATATGATCTACTTCCATAATGAAAGCCAGAGTTCAATACTGTGATGAACAGGTCATCACATTCAGACAAATCTTTTTTAATCATGATGATTTTTATGTGATCATATACACATTGTCTTTGGGAATGTTTAGTTAATTGGTTTTGCCTGAATCATTTTCTTTTGACTGTATCAGTTAAGACACCGCTATCATGAATAGATTCTTTATCTCATCATAAATTATTATTCTGTTCTGCCCAGGTTAAGTGGTCCATTTAGGAAATCAGAACAAATGGTTGGCAGAGTATAATTTCAACACCTACTCCATCCAATCACAACAGCTCCAGAATTCAGAAAAGCAATCAAATTTAATTAAATGTACCAATATTTCATCCTTTTACCAGTAAAGAAGCAAAGGTTTCACTACTTCAGACTGAATGCACTTTAAATTATACACGTTCCATTGATCGCCATCCACCAGGTTGAGCTTGAAAAGAACTTCAAAGGTCAGGTAATAATCTCCATTGCTTGCCAGGTATAATTTTTTCATCCGATCAAGCTGTCTTGAATAAAGGAAAATATTAACATAATATATGCACAGATAAACACTGGGTAATAATTCAGGAAAAGACATCCAACTCTAAAGCTGTTTTACATTTTAAATGGAATTCCATAGAGAAGAAAATGGGATGGCTTTTTTCACAAAATAAAGGCCAGGATTTGGAACATTTAGCCACAATGGTCTTCCCATCCTGGTGCTTTCCAAAAAGCTGAGTTGGAATTATCATCAATTGCTTCTATCCAGCGCAAAAAGGGGAAAGTAGGTCCAATACGTTTCAAGCTCAGTAGTTTGGAGAATGCTACCTTACTCCTTAGTTACTAAAATATCAAATAAGATGTCTTCTGAGAGAAAACTTGTATGCTTTATAACCAACTTGATACTTAAGAATATCCTTCATATTTATCCTGCTTTTTCTGCTTCTAGGTAGTCCTTGACTTATGATCATAGTTGGAACTAGAAATTCCATTGCTAAGCAAGGCATTAAAGTGAGTCATGCCTGATTTTAGTAGTTTTTTGCCACAAATATGGAAAACAAATTTGCTGTGGTTATGGGAAATGTATTTGTCAGAAGGAAGATCTGACAAATAAACATAAATCAAAATGAAAATAGCAACTAAGCTCATTCAATAACTTCATCTCCAAAGGTTCATTTTATATTAAAATCTGGAAATACCTTTTCTGCCTTTTAAAATTGTACAGGACCTTCAGTCGTTCAATATCTATCCAAAGCCACCAGTATTTTTCTCCCAAAGTTCCTCTGATGAATTTTTTAAATCTTTCAAATTCATGTCTGTTACCAATGTCATATGTCTTGTGCCTAGCACACCAAGCAGCTCTGGTTTCAGTGTTCTTTTCTGATTTTTCAGAAATTTCACTCTTCACATCCGTTCCATCAACTGTTCCATCAACCGTTCCATCAACAAAAGAAGACTTTTCAAAGACTGGCTCTATGGACTTTTCACTGCTTGCTAACTCATATATAAACACTCTAGTTGTTTTACTGAAATTGATGTCAGAAGGACTGTCTTCAGGTGGCTGACCAGTGACTACTGCAACAGAGTTTTTTAGTATATATTGAACATAGGCGAAAGAAAACTCATCCAAAGTGTGAAAAGATGCCAATTCTTGATATTGGATGAAGTCTTCACTCTTCCCCTCCTGAGGGGTAAGATCCCAGTCTTGTCCTAAGTAGGCTCTTAATAATGTGCGTGAAGGAGTATCAGGAAGTGACAAAGAATAACCCTCATCTCTGTGTCTTCTGGCTTCTATCTTCTGAAGAAGTGGGACATCAGTTAAGCTGGGCTTCTTCTTAACTCTGGATTCAAATCCTGCATGAAAATCACAAATCAGTCCTCCAAAGACCACCAACATACTAACATAAACATGAATTCAAGTATATAAAAATTGTCATATTTCACTGTCCAGAAATGGCTTCTTTCCTCAGACCTTTCTATAAATCAGAACCTAACTATGAGTAGCTGAATTAATATTGTTTTACAATAAGAGCAAAGAACTGCACCAAGTCACCATAATTTGTTTCCTATCATATATGTCTGACTTTATTTATCAGCCTGAATGTGAAAGAAAAGAATGTCTAGACTCTAGAGGTATGCAAAAAAAAATATATTAAAGTGGGGCAGGGGCAATATTTTCTTTTGAACTCAGAAGTAACCATTATATTCCAGAGTTTGGGGCAAACAGTTTCAGGCCAGGCAATTCAGCAGAGTCAAAACCTAGTCAACTTTTATTGATATAATATTTAGACAAAATAAAGTCTAGATGGGTTCAGTAGGCAAGTGTGGGTTGTTTCCACTATTCTCCAAACAAGTCCCACCACAACATAATATTTGGTGTTCTTTCTGCCCACAATTTTGTTTATCTATTTTAATTTATACATCAAACTTCTTAACCTCCCATCCCCCTCATACTGAGGCTCTTTCCCACTATCTTTCCAGCAATTTCCCACCCACACCCCTCTCAGCTGCTGTTGGTGTCACAGCCTGGCATATTCTACCCGCCAACCAGCCAATAAGCCAACCAACCAATGTCTCCAATATCTCCCCTCTATCTCCCTCCTCTGCTAATATCCTTAGGTTTGCCATTACTTATTCTGGCACACAATTTTGCCTGGAATATAACAGTTCCATTTCATGAACAGGAAAAGGTACTGTTTTGCCCCCTGTATGGACCAAAAACACCCAAAGCCTATGTGACATACTATGTTAGTTTGAAGCCAGTGCTTCTGTGTGGATACAAGGTCCCATCTTATTTATCTTTGGCTCCTCTTGTATATTTACCAAAAATCATGCGGCCCATAAACATAAATACTCATAAAAATCGTAAATTTGTAACATTGTATCTTCTCAAGAGAAAAATGTTTTTTTAATCTCAATTTTAAGCCTCTTGCACTTTATTTTTTCAATTCTGTGCTTATATTACAGCTGCAAGATTTTCCCATCACATTACTATACTGCTCCTGAATAAACACAATGAAAGGACTTGTATGACATATATTCCTTAGGGATTAATTAAAGAACACCATGTAAGGAAAGCCAGGGGATTAATATGGACATGCTCGGTACTCTGTAAGTAAATGAAAGAATGCAAAAATACCACTTCCCTAAATTTTTAGAGCAAGTACAATAAAAAGCAGTTTTTCTGCCACGAATTTATAAACCAGTAATAATGAAGCTAGCATTATTGCAGCTACCTAGCATTCCAAATCATACTAATTAAATCTGGTTGCAATATAGATAAATTTTGGTGGCACCATTTCTTAGCTTTTCAAAATTCAAAACCTTGACTAAGAATGGAAAAAATGTTTTTTCTCCCAGAAGTCTCCTGGTTCCAGTCCCAACCTCAACCCTCCTCAAACTTCAAAATGACTGTGGTCAGCACAATTTTAGTTCATTTTTGGTATTTTTTTTGCCATTTAAGAATGGGAACAAGTGTCTTCTGAGAAGCCAATCATTGTTCTTGTAACCCATCAACACATCCCAAAATTCCCTTTTCCCAATTGTGATCTCAGTAGTGTTTGTTGCTCCATAGGAGAGGATTTAAAGTTGGTAAATTGTCTCTAGAAACATCTTGTTCCCGTTCCCAGTTTTAAGGTGTAATTAATAACAAAAAAAAGAGCAAAATCAGTTGACTCTGTCTTCTGAGTGACATGCCTGTTATGATCCTTTGGAGCTTTGCAAGACTAAATTTTGCCTTAATACCTCAAATTTTGTTCTTTCCTGCTGTAAATGCATCTTGCCCACAAATACTACTTACCTAAGTGACCACTGCAAGTACCAGCATTAACAATGGATGAAGAGCTATACAGTTCTTGAGACTTTATATCTGAAGATAAACGTACAATATAACATTGTTAGGAAAGAATTGGGAGGAAGAGGACAATAGATGGGTAGGAGAAGGAAGTGTGTCTATTACAGGGGAGAAAGGCTGGGTGACATCGTCCAAAACCATGGGGTGAGAGGTATTATCAATATGCCGAACATATCCAACTTTACATCTCCATCCCTGGTGATCCAAGTAATACTGTAATTGCCCTATTATGGTGCTTGGAGGCTGTAGGGTTTGCATGGGGGATAACAGGCCTAGTCCCTGGTGAGATGGAGGGGCTGTGGGTTCAAAGGGCTCTGGGATTTGGGGATTTAATCATCCTTAGTTCTGGAAGGGGTTGCACTACTCTAGACAGACCCAGTACGCAATCTGGGGTTCTCCTGGACTCACAAATCCTGCTCGGAGCAGATGGCAGTCATGGCTAGGAGACTCTTTGCGTCACTTCATGTTGTGTGCCAATTACATCCTCTCATGAGACCCTGTGCATAGTCACTCATGCCCTGGTTATCTCCCAGTTGGATTACTGCAACACACTCTGCATAGGACTATTCTTGAAGAATATTCATAAGCTACAACTGGTACAGAACACAGCAAGGCAGATAGTTCTGGAGACTTCTTGGATGCAACATATGACACCAGTGAGATGCGAGCTGCACTGGTTGCCACTTTGCTTCCAGGTCCAATTCCAGGTGATCATTACTTTAGCCCTTTATGGCATGGGCCCAGGGTATCTGAGGAACCACCTTACCCTGTTGGAATTAACCCACCTCACTCGTTTCAGTGGAAAGGGCCTACTTTGGATCCCATCAGTCAATTTCAGCTGGCTGGTTCCAGGAGAAGAGCCTTTTCTGCTGTGGCCCCCACATTCCAGAATGTTCTCCCACCAAAGGTGAGATCTGACCCCACACTCCTGACCTTTCAGAAGAGCCTAAGCATTTGGCTCTGCTGTTTGGCCTGGGGCCCCAACAGGGTGGTTCACAGGATAGAGAGGATTCTCCTCCCCAGGCTGTACATCATTTTCTTATTTTAATTTTAATATTTTTATTCTAAATATGATTTGTTTTTTGCACTTTTTAATCCTTATTATATTGTAAGCTGTCCAAAGTCACTGTATTAGTGAGATGGGTGGCATAGAAAGTCAATAAATAAAATAAATACATAAATAGATCATTGCTGCAATAAACTATATTTTCCAAACTACTTCCATATTGCTGCCCCCAAATTACATAAAAGTGTCTGTAAAGATGAAATCATTAGGACGAGCTCATCTAAAAAAGGCTTTATTTCTTTGATTCGAACCTGGGCTGTCTGCATGTTAGGCAGATGTATTAACCTCTAGGCCACAGGCTCTTTCCCACTTTGTCAGCTATGAGACAGGGGAGAAGAATTATCTTGAGTTTGGTGCACCCTGTCGACCCAAATATGGGAGAAAGGAATCTTTTGCCTGTATCAGCTCAAACTAGAGCCATCCACAGGCTTAGCAGTCGCAACTGCGACATCATATGTGTTTTTCAAAATTTGGATTGCTAACAAAGAATTAAGGGAGAACTGGAATAGCCATTTCGAACTTCTTAGTTCTTTTCAACCAGACATACCCTTCTGAAATGGCTATTCCAGTTCTCCCTTAATTCTTTGTTAGCAATCCAAATTTTGAAAAACACATATGATGTCGCAGTTGTGACTGCTAAGCCTGTGGATGGCTCTAGTTTGAGCTAATACAGGCAAAAGATTCCTTTCTCCCATATTTGGGCCAACAGGGTGCACCAAACTCAAGATTATATATGAATATATATATATTCATAAAACAAACCACGATAAAACTAAAAAACAGAAAACCTGATGCTACATCTCACTTCTCTGATGCTATCTGCATTCTCATCTCACCCTGTTCTCATTCTATCTCTAATTGCATGTTTCTATGGAGGTTTCTCAATTAGTATCAGTAAGGTATGCACAACAGTTACATCATTCAGTATATAAACAATTACTACATTATGGCCTTCTTCCTAGATTAAGGTTCTCCATTAAGGCTCCACAGAAATAATAGTAGTTGTGGTTAAGGAGAATTTATCTTACTTGTCCCTAAAAATTCATGAAAGGCGATCAACAAGTTCTTGCAAAGTGGTGAAAAGGAGAAAGAGAATAGGTTGAAGGACTCAGAAGAAAAATAATGTCAGTTTTTATAAAAAGATGAAATAGAGCAAGTTGGAAAAAACAACACTGATAGACTGGTTGATTGATTTAGTTTGTAAGGCTACCCAATTGTTCATTCATCCATGTCTACCACCCTTACATATAATTTCCAATAGTTAATATTACCTTCACATATAGACAATGACTTTGGAGGATCAGTTAAAAAACGAACATGAGAAGATGTCACAGGACGAGTAATGGAATCAGTAGTGATCATGTTCTGACTTTGCTTGGCTAGAGTAAACCAATCCTGTGTCTGAGTAACGGTAGCCTATTGAATAAAACATTTGGTGGTTTATTTATAAAGTAAGCGGAGAAGACAAGTGGCAGATTTGAAAGGAGAAATTTTGGATACAAAAATCCAAAGGAATATGTGACATAAGGTAAGGAAATCATTTAAGCACACTATATCCCAATCAAGTCAAATAAAAATAAATACAGTAAATAGTTACCAATTAATACTATTTATGCTATGGTTTCTATCAGGCAAAAACCGAAAAACCTGGTGCTTGTTATCAATAAAAATGTTTTAATTAATTTTATTAATTTTTATCTCACAATAAACTGATATTCAACCCAAAAGCTTTACTGTAGTCAGAATGAAAGCTGATAGTTTTTTCCCCCCTCCAGGGCTACCTGATCTAATTGGAAAAGATCCCTGTTGTGTAGTTATTGAAATGTCCAGAGTGCAAGCAAAAGAAAAAAGAGCAACTGTGTTTCATAACAATGTAAAAACCAGTCGACTTTGGAGTTATTGCAGGAATGAACTTTTTTTTTTTATTGAAGAACACAGTCCCTTGTGGATGCTCTCTTGGGGACTATATTCCATGGTTGGAGAACCTACAGTTGTTAGTGGATGGGACAAAAGGGACAGGGCTACAGTTGTCCTGGTCCATCACATTCTTTGTGCTCTCCTTTTTCACTTTTTCACATGTTCCTTTTCTCTCCCCCTCTTCTTCTAGATATGTTAAAGTTAGAAAAGAGATTCAGTTTTCACAATAACAGTTGGCACAGCAAGGGATTTGTCAGAGCCCCAAGTGGTAAAAGAGGAAGTAAAGAAGAAGAAGGAGACAACTAGGGAAAAGAAGGTTGTCATTTGATCCCCAACTGCCTCCCTTATAATACCCTCCTGGCGTGAGAATTTAACTTAAGATTTTTTTTCAAAGTTTGTCATGTAGACGTTGAGGGAGGGAGGCTGAACACTTGTAGTTCCTCTAAGTCAGGGGTGTCAAACTCAATTTCATTGAGGGCCGCATCAGCATTGCAGTTGTCCTTGGGGGCCCGGGGTGTATGGCCAAGGTGGGTGTGGTCTACTGGGTGGGCATGGCCAGCTCTACATTGTTTGCGTCAATGGTGCCTGTGGGGGCCTGGGCAGGAGTGCGACAGATCTGAGGGTCTCTGGCAGAAGGGGGTGGGACCAGGGCAAGTGCCAAGGCATGGTCCATTGGAGGAGCCTCACTGTTCCTCTCAGGCCATGTGGTGGGGGGCTGGATGGTGGTGCGGGCTGCCCAGAGCCCTGGGCAGCGGAGGTCAAATGCCCAGCCTGGCCCTCAAGCACCCATGGCACCAAGCCTAGCCCCACTTCCACAAGGGGTGTCCAGCTGCCTCCTCCTCAAGGCTGCTGCTGCTGTGCTTGCTCTCCTTAGCCAGGTTGTTCATGATGGGCAAAGTCAGAGGGAGACTGAATGTGTTTCAGCATAGATGGCCACCACAAAATTGGACATTGGCTCCCGGCTGGCCGGCCTGGGCAGGGCCAAGGCAGTGGGGGCCGTTCCCTCACTGTTTCCAGGATGGCTTCGCGGGCCACATGAAACCACTTCTCAGGCCGCATCCGGCCCCCGGGCCTTGTGTTTGACATGTCTGCTCTAGGTTTTCTACTTTAGTAGTGCGCTAGACTGAGGAAACCTTCATTCAAAACTCTATTCAGCTAGGAAATCCCCAGGTAAGGATAGGCCAGTCATTCTCTCTCATCTTAACACATTTCTTTAGGGTGATAACATGAATAAAATAAACGGTAGGCATCAACTAGTGAGAAAATGGGAACATTAAGAAGGATACATTTATATTCCATACCCCTCTACATTTCATTTTTTTATTTTAAAAAATAATATATTATTTACTGCTCTGCAATCTGAGACATACATTAAAACATACACAACAATGAAAATGTATGCTTAAAAATGACTTAAAACCAAGTCAGCCAAATCCAAGAAGGAGGCACCAGTCCACTATAAGAAATTTATAGGCTAATGCTACAGACAGAACTTTTGCTGCTGCCCTTGGAACATCCAAACGTTGGTCACTTAAAAGAAAATACTGATCTCCTCATATGATGAGGGAAATTAAAGTTCCTAATAATTTGGGGTTATAAATTCTGATAATGAATGTGGATGAAAGTGGGCATTTTAGTAGATTCAACCACTGTGTTTGAACATATACAGGTATGATTTTCATATGGGAGACTGTAATATCTTCTAGTTATCACCCTGTTGGATAACACATCAACTTGAACCAGAAGGAAATAAACCTCCCACTTTTACTTTATTCTACATAGGATACTCTTATTTATAACACTCAATGTATTTTACCTGGCCAAGAGAAACGTAGAACCTTTTCATAATCAAGTCATCTTCATTTTCCTCAGGGCTTTCTATGGAGGGTGGACTTTTTGAGAACCAAGGATAATAGGTTTTGTCTATAACAAAACTGATCCCAGTTTTGCTCCATTCCACCTGTGAAATAAGTTTAGCTAATCTACAGGGAAGTGACAAATAGCATAAAATAATTTAAGGTTACCCAGATAATATTAACATCAACAAAATTACTGCTCTTTTAAAGAAACCAAAACCTCAAAGAGATTGTCTTAATTCATTATGTCTATAATTTAATGCTATTCAGAGTTTAAATGTTTTGAAGGGTATCTGCAGACTTCAGATTAGATTCATCTAGAAATCTTCAAGAAAGTCACTCCTGCATTTAGGAACTAGCAGTAGAAACTTCAAGTGTCTTTCTTCCTGCTTTTTCAGGTTAATGGACTCTTTGCCATTCTTGTTAATTGTAATGCACTTTTCAAGAGTTACACTATTTCTTTCTCTCTCTGCCCTGAACTGCATCAGCTTCAGCCCTTACAGCTAGTCAGTACTGCTAGGGTGGAACCTGAAGACACTATGTTTAATTGATCCAGATTTGCAAAGAAGCTACAGTCTTAGTTCTTCTGACCCAGACATGTCAAACCTGCGACATCAAGTGACATCGCACGACATATCGGAACTTTTCCCCCATTGCCGGCAATGGGGTGGGCGCGGTTTCATCATGACACGCTTGTCGTGACACAGCCCGCAGGCCGGCAGTTTGACACACCTGTTCTGACCCTCATATGGTCTCACAGCTGAATCACTCATTTTTTAAAAAAATGAGATCCAGAACTCACATAGACTTATTTCACAGCTGCAGAACACCGCTGGTTCATATTAAATGGTGCTTCACTTAAGGACACCTAGATCCCGTCTCGCAGTTATGGCTATTGAGCCAGATACCACCTATTCTGTACCTATGCATTTGTTTTTTCCTGCCTAAGTGCTTTTCTCACCACTGAACTGCATCTTGTTGTATGGGCAGTTTATTTTCCCTGTATCAAAAGGATTATATTATGTTTTCCTTAAATGCTGCCAATACTTCCATTTTTAAGAATAGCAGATATATTAATATACTTACCAAATGAGGTAAAAATGTGGTAAAATGAGATATAATGCAAGAAATGCTTAAATTAATTGCAGTAATACTTAAATATAGACCATGACTTTTTAGTCACACATGATTGCTTGTAAAAGTGACGTAGTGAGAAGCTATAAAAATAATGTTAGTTTCATTGCTATTATTCTCATAAGCCATTAAAATTATATATGTTTGGCCAAAAAAATCCAGTTTTTGTTGCTGTTTTTGAGATAAACTTGCAGCTTTAAAACTTAGATTCTAATTAAAATACCTGTATTCAAAGTAGCAATCACTCTCTAAAAATGCTGGAAATCTTTTCTTTTTAATCCATTCAATAGCTTGTTCTCGGTTCAGACTCTAACAAAAGAAAACATGTTCTTTAAGTTTTATTTCCTGTATTATTAACAAACAGGATGGTATAATCCAATAATTTCCAAACTCTTTATAGGAGCTCAGTGGATCCTAGAAACATACACACAAGGTATTTCATTACTCAACTAGGTAACATCATCAGTGCTACTTCTATCAAGCTGTGCAGTTAATTGGAGATTTGTATCTGACACTGTTGGGCAGACCATGCTCCAGTAGGCATTCATGCAGAAAAAAATACTTGTTCTTTGGCTGAGGCTTGCCTAAATGCAAATTTATCCTATTTGCATGCTGTCTGAAGCGTTTGATGCCCATATGTGTACCTATAAAAGAGAATACTTATAGCTCAGGGGTGCTTGGTGCTCTCAAGCTTGGTTGGTTTTTTTGCTGACGTTTCCCAACTAAGGAAAATCATCAGTGTAACATTATCAGTAGCACTGATGACGTTATCTAGTCAGGTAATGAAATGACTGCAAGAAAACAACCAAGGTCACAGAGCATCAAGAATCCCACAGTAAGAAAGATTGCTTGTCAGGATTCATTCCCTGAGCAAAACAATGCTCCCTAAGCAAAGGATGGAATCTGGAAAAAGACCTGTTTCTTAGAATTCATTTTTATGGAATTGTACTGGAATGATATCCTCTGGCATCCAGGGACATAAACATTCTGATCCTGCCATAAAATGCATTTTGATAGAGTAGCATAAAATTGTTCCTGTCTTGCTAGAAGTTGTCTTTCCTCTTGTGGCTTACTGATAATGATTTCTGGAAAGGCTGAACATGGCTTCTTTACTTTAGCCAGTATTTCTGGATGTAATCAAATACATTTGTACTTATTTATGCTCAAAACAAATTCCTTGCTTTTGTCTCCATATCCATGAGAAAATAAGACATGCCAAAGTCATATTTCTCATATTAGTGGAAACAGCTTCCAAGATATCTTGTCACTTTTATAAAGGAAAGTTATATTGACTCCTATATTGTATTCATTATTCTTCATTTAAGATTGCACTATGAATATTTTTGTTGTTATAATTCAATATTCCCAAACCTGGCATTATTAAATGTTTTGCAATTACAGTTGTCAGGATTTCTAGCAATGATTTGACTAGATTAGCTGAGAATGCTGAGAACTGCAGATCCAAGACATCAGGAGCTAAGAAAGGCAGTGATAATTGTTTAGCTCAGTATTGCTCAACATTGGTGTCTTTCAGTCTCTAGCAGAATTCTGGGTGTTGAAGTCCACACTTCTTAAAGCCGCCAAGTTGAGAACCACTCGTTTAGATAGTAAAAATCATGCACATGTGAAGTTTGAATGGAGGGAAGGAAAGTCCTAATAAATAGAATTATTTGTTTACTTCCATGCTTGAACAAAGCCCACACGCACACACCCACACACATATGTATCTATAATTTTCAATCTTCGCATCATCCCATTTTTAATTTGAAATGGCCCATGTCACAAATACATATTGGGTTCCCTAAATATTCTAAAAATAATTCAAGCTATAATTCCAAATGGTTGAATTTAACTTTTTGCACAGAACTTATTAATGGCTCTTTCCACATGAGTGCAGTTTCCAAGGATGACAGGGTCCTTAAAAACATATGGAATATACAGTTAGACATGTATAGAACCAGACAATGTCACATATATGACAACAATATAGTGCAAATTACACAAAATATGTAATCTGCATCAAGGATATCACAATGCATGACATCATCAAGGCTTATAATCAGATGTTATTGGCAAACATATAAACTCAAACTTTTAGATTTACTCACAGAAGTCAGGGTGGGAATGGGAGTGGATCCCTACTCACTGACATTCCATACAACTTTCTTCCCAGGATGGCTATAAATTAAGTTTTAATTACTCCTTTTGAAGGAGCTATACTTCTAGTAAAGTCAATACTCTTGAAACCTAGCAACTTTTTAAACACCTGGTGTAATCAGAGGAATCATTGCAAGATCAAAAGTTTTTAACATCAATCTGATTAATTAAATATGGAGCCCCAATTAATACAGCAAGATTTCAGAGTTGGTTGTACAATATATCATATTTCCATGACTGCTTCTTAAAGGCAGAATAATAACTCCAATTTATTCTTACCATGGTTGAATAATTTGGATTAAAACTGAAGGCCGAGGAAGGGGGAGTGCTAATATCTTTAGAAAAAGAGGTTTGTATCTTTGTCTGCCTTGTAACATCATAAATGGGATTTCGAGGTTTCTGTTCCCGAAGCATTTGTTTTAGCTGGTTTTCCATGCACTGTGGGACATCACTAGCAACTTCAAAAATTCCAAAATCAGAATTAAATTGAATTGGTTCTGCAAATGTCTGTTAAACATGAAAAGTGAAAGATTAGGATTCAGAAATAGCACAACACTGAAGAGATATAATCTAACCATGCATTTTATAAATAAACTAATGGCCTGCTTGTATTCCTCTTAAACTATCTGATAGTTTAATTTTAGAGGGTTTCCCCCTCTTAACTATATTTTTATAGCCTTGGGCTTTGTTTTTCTAACTTTCTGGAACAGTGATTTCTGCCTATAAAAAAATTAACATATCCATTATTAATGCCATTCAGCAGAGGAACAGAAAAATTAATGCATGTTCACAGTTATTACACCCATTCAAGCTCCTACCACTTAACCCATTCTGCAGTAATTGAAGTGTTTTTTCATAAAAAGGGGAAATATGACTGCAACCTTTTAGCACCTGGAGTTTACAGAAAATGTACCTATAAGTACATTTTAAAAACTATTGAACCTTCCCCAAACGGTAGAATTTACCACTATTCTCTGAGCATTCAGGGCCAACTGACAACTTTGTGCTGCTGTCTGATGAGAGGAAAAAGCTCATAGATTCTTCTTGGCAGAGAAAATAAAACAGTGATAAGAAGTAACTATCAATTTCCTGCCTTTTCCTGACTGCTTAAATTAGCTGCCTGAAGTAGCTCCTTCTTTCTTTGTTGAATTGGCCTTGAGATAACAAAGTTATTATTCATAAGTATCATAAATTTGTGATTGCTAACATTTCTTGGGGAAAAAATATGCAATGCACTAATGTCAAGCCAAAGTTTCTGTTTTTATTTAAATTGGAGGGAATACAAATTAAAATAACAAAAAGAATAAACTTTTAATTGCAAATCATTGAAGATATGCTAGTTTATGTGAATATGTGAACAAAGCATGTAAATTCTACAATCTGGAACTATTTTAACAGATGCTAGATAATTTTAGTTATGTGTTATTTATATAGAAAACTAACCAAGGATAACATTAATTAATCACTTGTATCTATTTTTAATTTCAACTCTGGCAATGGAGCCCAAAGACCCATTTTCCAAAATGCATTCCAATTAATTAAATCGAAAACATCTGGATCTTCTAATGTAATAAAACAGATGCCAATAACAATGTTTTAAATATAAACTGTATTGTCATCTTGGATGCTTGACTACCAATCAATTATAATGTATATAAAGGGATGGAATGAAAAAACTAATAGTCTTCGCCAATAAGCCTAGGCCAAACTACTAAGTTAATCAAAGGCATATGTTTCAATCCAACAAGTGACTTCACTTTTCTGAATCCGATCCTACATAGGCAAGGAAGCTCGGAGCATGGGAGGTGTCATATTTGACATCTCAGAGCTCTGAACATATGTTGATCAATTGAATCCAATTCTTCCCCTTCTGTACAGCTGATGCAAACTGCAATCACCTGCAATCAACATAGCAAGATGGAGGGAAATATTTGTTGGTAAAACCTACTCCTTATTTTAAAAAACCATGTGGTACCTCATGCATGTGCATAAAATAAGCAATATATGATAAATGTACATACAATAAACATGAGTTACCAACTGACTTCTGATTTAGTCAGACATGATCCCACCACATATTTGGCAGAACATATATTGAAAGGTCTGCAACATGTGCTGTGATTAGGATTCATTCAGATTCATTCCTGTATTTCTAGATAATAAGATTGTTAAGAGGCAGAAGCAAGGTGTGCAAAAAGACCAAATTACTGAGGTGCAGTAAAAAAAAATAGGGTACAATATTTGAGCAATAACTCCACTATCTCTAATCTATATATGAGGAGTCAAACTTCATTTAATCAAATAGTGATTTATACAAAAACATTTTAAACATGCTTGGAGGTATGCTAAGATCATTCCCACAATTTGAGTCCCTACAATTGCTTTGACAGCAAGTCCCACCAAGGCCAACTAAATGCAGCTAATAATCACTGATTGAGGAAGTGATAGTCTTGGGTATCTGAAGGACACTAGATTGAAAAGCATACTATGGTATTATTTCATATTACTTGTCTATTTACCTATTCATTCATTTATTTCTATGCTGCTCTTCTTCTTGAGAGAGGTCAGAGAGGTACACAAAAGGACAAAACCATCAAGAACTGGGTCAACAATTCTGTTTTCTATTAGAGCTAGAAAATGAACAGGTAGGCATTCCGTTCTTCTTTAAGACAGCATGGTGGCCAGTTATAGGCTGGTAGGCTATTGTTTTATAGAATCAGTGTGCTGTCCCTGGAAAGGTCTACTCTGTGCTATTTACACTGTGATCTGATCCAACTACAAAATGTTTTATATTAGATATGTTCTGTCTCTCATCCGTTTCTTTCCATATTGTGCCTGGACTAATCTGCATTGAGTTTTAAAGAAGTATATAATGAAAACATTTTATTGCTAATTATATGTATATATTAAATACATATTTACAATTTCAGATGTACATAGATATATACTATAAATCTAATCAAAATTCACATTTCCAAAATGAATGGAGGATATATTAAAATGGAAATGATAACTTCTGAGCTGAGAAATCTGAATGGTTCCAATCAGCACATTAGCCAAAGATATATGAATTTGGTCAGTTTGTACTGGAGTTCTCAAAAATAAAATTCAAGTGTCGTCATTTGATATAATTCATAACGAAGAAGTATTTAAGGGCTACTTCTGTAGCTTAGCAGTAGACCATCCATTGGTTGGCTGCATAAAACAAAAGTGCCAATTTGCAGGATGATTACCAACATTGCAATACATCAGAAACATTTCTTTTTTTGAAAGATTTTCTTGCAGTAGGGTGAACAATTAATAGCATGAAATATTTTTACTTTAACCTTTTGCCTATATACCAATTATTATGCCTGGGTTCTGTTTCCAGGTATCGGTCACATAAACATAACAAAGTTAAAGAACCAAATTGTAATCAGTTTTCACTGGCATTATCCTAAATAATTTCTATGATGAGCTTCAGCAAAATAAAACTGGACGTATTAGACACTCCATATCAACGTTGAATAGAGCAAACTCTCCTGAGAAAACCTAGTGATGATTAGGTCAAGAATTCTCAGCAGATATTCTTAAAAGAACAACAGTTAGTTTTGGCTTTTTCATTCATTGCAGCACGGTTGTCTTAACATTTGTTTCCAGCATGATAATTACTATACAACATTCTTCAGAGGGAGTTTCCTGTAAGGCTTCCACAGTATGTACTGATACTCTGGGAACATGGTTTAGGATTTACGATGATAGGCAGGCAAGCAAGAGGGGCTTGGTAAGTAGGCCAGAATATATTGTATGATTTATATCAGTGGTGGCGAACCTATGGCACGGGTGCCAGAGGCAGCACTCAGAGTCCTCTCTGTGGGCACGTGGGCCGTTGCCCCAGTCCTAGGCCTTCAGCTGGGTTTTATAAAATCTTTTCGCTTTAGGCCTCCGCTGCCGTGTGCAAAAAAAAAAAAAGGTCCCTCAATCAGTCAAATTCAACTTCTCGCAGGAAAAAAAAGATCTTGCAAAGTTGGAATTGATTGATTGAACTTTTTAGTCCCACCCAATCTGTCGTTACCACCGCAGCCATGCCCACCCAATGGGCCACACCCACTGAATTGGCCACACCCAGCCAATGGACCACACCCACCCGGCACCCGATGATGCATAAGTAGGTTTTGGGTTGCAGTTTGGGCACTCGGTCTCTAAAAGGTTCGCCATCACTGACTTATATATTGTATATATAAGTATATATTGTAACAATCAATTCAACCAATTTTATTGGGATAACGATAATGAATACGTGTTTCAGCAAAATGTATCATACTTACTGGGAGACTCAAAAATTCATTGAAGAAATCTACAAGTATGTTGTCAGTTGCTAAATACTCTTCCTGTAAGAACAGAGAAAGACAAAAACATGTGATATGATGTAATGTGTTGGAATAAGAACAGTTCTTCTTATTCTAGAAGTAATTAAGAGTTTCCAGCATTCCTGCAGAATCAGATTCTGGTTCATGTCAGGTCAGATTATGGTCCACGTAGATGAGCATTGCCAGACTAATTAATAATATTCAGCTAAACTGGTAGATTCTTCAGCTGACTGGAACCCTAAGCCAAGGCCTTCTCTATCGTTTGTTGCCTGACCATTTACAAATAACCATCCCTAATGGTACTTTCCCAATGGAGAAGCAGAAGAATCGTTCTCAAGCCAGCCTAATTCCAGTGAAAGTAAATCATTACTCTTCCAGTTAAGGATATTGGAATCTTTATCATAGGAAGATTATATTCCATTATATTACATCCAGCTGTGCCCCCAGGTTGAGTATGTTGGCTGGGGAATAAAGGGAGCTGAACAACAAAACATCTGGAGTGGTAATATATTTGGATTCATCTCCTTTATTGGCAGCTTCAGCTACATTTCCCTTAAGTTTTATGTTTTGGGATACATTGGTTTTGTAACTTTATGAACTCTACCTGTTCAGCTTTCCATTTCCAATTTGGTTACCAACTTAAGGATATTTAAGATTAAACTTAGGTACAACAGCCATCTTTTCTCAACATGACTCTGACATCTCCAATGTAAATTAAGTCCTTTTGCATTAGGTAGTGATTTGGAAGAGGACAAATCTTAGCAAACCTCTAAAATTAATGGGGAGTGAGCAGCAGCACCTTTCAAATAAATTAGAAGCCTCCCATTGGCAGTAAGCTTAGTCTTAGTATTTCGAAGACTTTGCGTGAAAAATGTTATTAAAAACAGGTTACTGTCTCCTATAGCATATTTCACATTTCATCAGTCATAGGGCTGATGACAACACTGTAAATGACAGGATATGACAAATAAAGAAGAATGTTAATGGCTTTACTGGCCCAAGCAGTCCATAGAAAACAAAATCCCTATTAGTTAGAGAATGCAAAGTTGGAGAAAATATGCAGAGATCTATGTGTTATTTGCCCGTGTTATTGAAAATACCAATTGTGAACCTTTTCAATTTTATGACATTGTTCATATGGCTTTCAAAATTGTGTGGGTGTGTATGTGCCTTTGAGTCAAAACTGACTCCTGGCAAGGGCCTGGAAAAATCCCTGGTTTTCTTGGCAAGATTTTTTTCAGAAGTGGTTTGTAATTTTATTTTTAATCTTTTAAAAACCTTTACAATTTTCCATAAGCCTTATTTTAGTATTCCCTTTTAATATGTAATCTACTTTTATAATTCCCTTTGTAATAGTGCTAGCTTCAGAATAATGTAAATTTTAGGAAAGCAAATCTCAAATGTTAGAATAAATCTCAAGACAGAAAAAAGTCCACATTTCATATTTAACACAATGTATTAGCAGCCAAATTTTTATTCTTAAAATTTTAAACTTTATGAAAATCCTGATTGAATAATAATTGAATATTCAACATTCATTGAATAACGAATATTGTTAAAAATGTATGCATTTGATAAGGATACAAATCTGAGCTTCAGAAAAACAGATAACCAATAGATGGCAGCATATAGAAACAGAAATTATAAACCAGTTACTGCCATCTAGTGGATATTTGGATTTTTGCAACAGGAGATCCTCCCCAGCTTTACTGAATATACAACATGTTCATATTGGTGCTATGCATATGTGTTGTTGTAGTGTCAACAGCAATTTTGGTGAGATATTATCAGGAATAACAATGCAAGAAAAATACCTTTCCCATGATAAGAGCCAGCTATGAATCTCTTTCCCATTAAAGAAAGAAATCCTGTTCATGGTTTTCCTATTTTCTATATGGTTCTTAGTTGGAAATGTTCAGACAGTAGTAGCACTGTGAATATGTGAGGAGAGGGAAATCTGTATAAAGATGGCTCCCTTTAGCAATTATACATGTAGAGGAGTCAGTGCAATCAAGGGCAGCTGGTTTTTATTGCTTGCCCCACATTAGGTCTTTTAGTTTTCCTCTACAAGGCAAAAGTTCATATATTCTACATACATGCTTCTAAAATAAGACATTTGCACAGCCTAAGCATTGATTCCATTCCACAGTTTTTGATTTTGAAAATATATTTCTTGCTTAGAAGTAATTTTCTACTAGGCAGTATTTCTCAACCTTGGCAACCGTAGGATGTGTGGACTTCAATTCCCAGAATTCTCCAGCCAGCATGATGGAGAGACATATTTAACCAGCCTGTGAGACACATTTCATAGTCAACTCTACTGGTTTTAAATCTTTGGAAACCCTAATTTGTTTTCAGTGCTGGCTGTGGAAATATCAGCTTCTGTTTCATTAATGCCCAGTTAACAAAAAGATACATATGCATGTAGTCCTTTGGACATATAATAGTCCTTGACTCACAACCGTTCATTTAGTGACTGTTTAAAGTTACAAGGGCACTGAAAAGACTGACTTATGACCTTTTTTCACACTTATGACCTTTGCAATATTGCCATAGTCACATGATCAAAACTCAGACATTTGGCAACTGGCATATATTTATAATGGTTGCAATGTCCCAGCGTCATGTGATCACTTTTTGTAACCTCCTGACAAGTGAAGTCAATGGGGAGCCAGATTCACTTAACAACCATGTTACTAACTTAACAACTGCAGTGATTCGCTTAACAACTGCTGCAAGAAAGCTCGTAATATGGGGCAAATTCATTTAACAATTTTCTTGCTTAGCAACAGAAATTTTGGACTGAATTGTGACCTAAGTCAAGGACTACCTGTAATCCGTTTATGCATATGTCTCGGGCTATAATCCTCTATCTATTTATGTGGCTATATGTTGCACTACAATTGGACTTCTTAGATTTTCAAATTCTTGTGCTTTCTTGAACACTATTAGATTTAGCAGAGCTGTTTATTATCCCAAATATTCAAAGAAGCACTTATTTCTCTACTATTTCTGTTTCCCTACTATTTTGTATATAACAATCTAGCTGCTCTTAAAAGATGCACAATTGGTTTAAGTAAAATTGTTGATATTTTTTTAACTTACTAGAACAGATAAAAGGAGTATATTTTAACTTCAGATAATGAAAATAATGTTTTTTGTGAACATATGATACTGCAGTAATACCACTGCCTAAAACCTTTTACTTTTATCTTTAAAATTATATGTAAAATATATTAAGCTTTTTCTTGTTCCTAACTCCTTGTAAGGGATGGATGGTATTGTACAGTAACAGATATTTCTTCCACAAAATTGATTTGCTCACTCTTAGTATCCTGATAATCATGTATAAATCTTAACTTGGCTGCTAGCTAGAATGCAAACCTCTGCCAGAAAGTTGTGTGCTGATTTATAATCAAGTAACTCACCTACTCTGACAATTCAGTACATTTTTCTTCAATTCCAGATTGCCTCCTATAGGCAGAGCCAAACTGAACTAAACTTGTTCTAGAAATAAGGTCAAATTATTTTGTCCTAAATAATGCATACTTTGTCAGAGCAAAAAGAAGCACATTCTTGAATGAGGATGAAAAGATAGGGCAGGCATAGAATAGAATAGAATAGAATAGAATAGAATAGAATAGAATAGAATAGAATAGAATAGAATAGAGCTGGAAGGGACCTTGGAGGTCTTCTAGTCTACCCCCCTCAAGCAGGAGAACATATATCATCTCGGACAAGTGATTGTCCAGCCTACTCTTAAAAATCTCCAGTGATGGAGCGCCCACCATTTCTGAAGGCAAGCTGTTCCACTGGTTAATTGTCCTGTCAGGAAGTTTCTCCTTAATTCCAGGTTGCTTCTCTCTTTGATCAGTTTCCAACCATTGTTTCTTGTCCTGCCCTCTGGTGCTTTGGTGAATAACGTGACCCCCTCTTCTTTGTGGCAGCCCCTCAAGTACTGGAAAACTGCTATCATGTCTCCCCTATTTCTTCTTTTCTTTAGATTAGTCAGACCCAAGTCCTGCAGCCATTCTTTGTATGTTTTAGTTTTCAGGTCTTTGATCATTTTAGTTGCTCTTCGCTGGATTTTTTCCAGACTCTCAACATCTTTTTTGTGATATGGTGACCAAAATTGGCTGCAGTATTCCAGGTGTGGTCTTACTAGGGTTTTATAAAGCGGTACTAATACTTCGTGTGATCTTGATTCTATGCCTCTGCACACTGCTAGCTCATATTAAAGTGATCGTCCACTAGGACTCCAAGGTCCCTCTCACAGTTTCTGTTTTTAAGCCAGGTCTTGCCCAGTCTGTACTTGTGCCTTTGATTTTTCCTGCGTAAATGTAAAACTTTGCTTTTCTCCACATTGAAACTCATGGTTGTCCCAAAAGTCAGAGCTGAAGAAGCTTCTTGGATGAGAAGCAAAATGTCTTCAAAGAAAAAACAAAGTCCAGTTGCTTTTTGAAAAAATAACCAAAATAATGTCCCCATCTGCATCAAACCATCTCTATTTTTCTTCTGTGTCCCTATGACGTTGCCTTTCTCTATCCTCAAAGTGAACTGGGTTCAAGCTGGCCTAAGCTGTACTGGTATTAAAATAGAGCTTTTCCTCTTATTCTGAGACTAGCCTCAAATTGTGTCACACCTGCTAGGTTTTGTACCTTGAAGGTCAATCCAGGATTGGCAGGGACAGGGAACACAAGTGACAGAGGCAGTACAGGTTTGTGGATCAGCACTGGTTTCATACTTGTATAGCTTTTTATTGACTCAAGAATGGGCAGAGAGCACTATCCACTGCTTAATGGGGAAAGGCTTGAAAAAAAAGCTTCAATCCACTTANAGTCCCATGAGAGAGAGAGAGAGAGAGACAGAAGTGCAAGTGCCTCTGTCTCTGTCTCTCTCTCTCTCTCTCTCATGGGACTTGCCGGAGGGCCGTGGGAGGGCCGCATTTACATAGAGCAGGGAGGGCTGTTCGAGGGCCGGATTAAACCGGGCCGCGGGCCGCAAATGGCCCGCGGGCCGGACTTTGGACATGCCTGTTTTAGAGCATCTAGCAGGCTGAATTATGGAAATGGAAAGTCCTTTAGGGAAGGAAAACCATATTCCTTTCTCTGAAGTGATTCCTTTCTTTAAAGGCCCAACTTGGCCCTCCCTATTCTTCCTATATCAGAATCCGGGAAAGAATTGGAAAGGTGCAGATGAAAAATGGTCATTCAGGCAGGAAGAGATAGAAGATGGTGGTTTCCCTGCCTTGTCCTGCAACTCATCTATGGAAGAAGAAGTTGCATATCAATGGTGGGATTCAGCTAGTTCGCACCAGTTCGGCAGAACCAGTAGCTAATTTTTTGTTGCCCAGGCCCAGAATAGACTTCCGGAAGCGGCATCCACACAGAGAACCGGTTATTCACATATTTGAATCCCACCACTGATTACAATGCTTGTCAATCTTGACATCTTTAACATAACCCAGAATTCTCCAGCCAGTATGCTGGATTGGGATTCTGAGAGTTGACGGTCCACACACCTTAAAGTTGCCAAGATTGAGAATCACTGCTCCATGTGATTGTTTCTCACTCCTTCTGCAAAGGATGTTTGAAGTAAGAGGAAAGATTTTGGAGAGAGGCCTCCATGCTTTCCAGATTAATGCTTCCATTGCATTCTTTTTCAAATTATTAAATATGTCTGTCTTCAATAATATTCAGTTACTATGGAATGAAAAGCATTTGATTTGGTGGAACTTATTTCTGATTCAAAATGTTTTAATGTTCTGCCATCAATAGCATGGTTGCATAATAACATGGTTGCATAATAACATGGTTGCATAATAACATGGTTGCATAAACAGAGAGATAGAGTCAAGATCACATTTAAGACTCTTATCTCTGCAAAAAATGCATGTCAGATACTAGGGATTGATTGTTATAACTGAACGAATAATTATAAATAAAGGGCAGGGAAGATTTAAATGTCAGTTATACTGCTATCAACATAGCTGCTCTATCTGAAAATATGTCAAATACTAGAGTAATTAAATTACTATTTTCAACAATTTGCAATGAAACAGGAAAAACAGTTTACTTACAAATTCATTCTCTCTTATGCAGGGAGGCACTGAAAAATAAACAAAAATAGTATTAACAATGTATCATATAGGTAATAATGAAAGTTCCCTGGACCAGTTATGAAGTTATTAAAGTTATTCAGACAAATAAATTATTGTTCGTTTTATCAGTAGCTGATTATCAGTTATGGCAAAATCAGTTATCGGTAAAAGCAGAATAACTATACAGTAATCATAAGCCCCCATCCCCAAGATCAATACACTGATCATAAGACCCTGTTCACACAACTAGAAACAGCAATAAGAAAATAAATCATATATCCAGATAGTTCCTTCCTTGAAAAAATACTATTTTACTTGCCTATTAAATGCAAGCAGGCAAAATAGTAAGGAATTTCGTGAGACAGATCTCTTTATGAGGTCTATTCATTTTAAAATATTCATGCCAACATATAGGATACTTTCAACATGTTTAGAATGTGTATGTTTGCCATTAAGCAAGAAGAAAGCCAATTTTTAAATGGTTCCTTTCCTACATAAAAAAAGCTTGTTGGTCAGTTTTTAGCAAGTGATAAAACATTTCATCTATCAATTTCTACATATTTTAAACTTGTGATAAGCTTTAAAATATGTAGAAAGAAGCACAATTCTGATTATTTCTCTGAGTCCGCTGGTAATTCTGTAATAAGTTCTAATATTTTTTAAATATCTAATTTTAAATTCTAATTTTGTAAGACAGATGTCAGAGAAATGACCGCTGTGTCAGACTGAATTGGTGTTTCAGAATGAAGTGTCCATGGACATTAGCCGTATAGCAGTATTCCAGTATTTGAAGCAGTATTCCAGTATTTGATGGGCTGCCACAAGAAGAGGGCATCAAACTATTCTCCAAAGCACCAGAGGGCAGGACAAGAAACAATGGTTAGAAACTGACCAAAGAGAGAAGCAACCTGGAATTAAGGAGACACTTCCTGACAGTGAGGACAATTAACCAGTGGAGCAGCTTGCCTTCAGAAATCATGGGCACTCCATCACTGGAGGTTTTTAAGAGGAGACTAGACAGTCACTTGTCTGAAATGGTATAGGTTCTTTTGCTTGAACAGGAGGCTGGACTAGAAGACCTCCAAGACCTCCAAGACCTCATTCTATTCTATTCTATTCTATTCTATTCACTATGGCTTGCTGAATTAACTTTCAGTGAAGAGTAATAGATTTTGAGTTCATAGAGTTAAATTTCTAAGCAAATGTCAGAAGTTCTGAGAGTTAAATGATTCAGAAGAGAAAAACAATGAACTTGGATCTAGAAACCTTTGGTTGGTGATGGGGTATCCTCTGTATGTTCTGTATGTTACTTAACAACAGTTCTTTATATAGCCCCAGTCAACATAGCTAATGTGAAAGAAGCAGGGTTATAGAAAGAGCAGGTTCCTCACTTTTGTCCTTGTCTCAATACTGAGTTTGGTCATGTGTCATAATCTTCCCTGCTCAGTGTTCCATATACTGAATGGAAACCACAATCCTTTGCCCTTGTAAGCAAGGAGAACACAGTAAAGCTTGTTAATGCACATTTATAAAAAATGGTACATTCATGTTTAAAAGTATTTAATTAGGGTGCAAAAGCCCAACTCAAAATTAACCAGAGTTAAACTTCCATTTATTTCAGTGAAATGAGAGTTACTTCATTCTTAGACTGTGTTATTTTGTTTCATTGGGACTTTTCGCTGTGAACCTGATTCTACATTTATACAACCATTTGCCACCACTGGGTCATCAACTAGCCAATCTTAACTGACCCTGACGAAGCTGAGCAGGGTTTCAGTGGAAGACCAGCACAAGATCCCAGGGCTGATAGGCTTAAATCTTCCCGGAAGAAGCCAATGGCAAACCATACAGCTGCTAGGAAAACTGCTCGGTCAAGCACAACTCACTAGAGACTTTATCAGTTGGAAATAATCGAATATTATTCATGAAAATGGAAACCGGAATGGTTTGACGGGAGTCAATTTTAATGTTACCCAGGAATTACAAATGAGGATACCCCAAAATTAATCTGAGTAGTGTTTGAAGAAGAGCAGATCAGGACTTCTATGTTTTTACTGTCCACAAATGATACGTATGGTAGCTAACAAAGTGAGAAAGAGCCTGTGGCATAAGGGACTAATGCTTCTGCTTAACATGCAGACAGTCCAGGTTCGAATCTCGGAAGGGTATGTCTGACTGAAGAAAACCAAATAAGGTTAGAAATAGCTATCTCAGTACTCCCTTAATTCTTAATTAGCATTCCAAATTTTGAAAAAAAATATATGGTTGCAAATAACATAAAAGACAGACGAATGACTCCTGGGAATATCCATGGTACAAAATAAAAATGTGAACACCAGGAGAATATAAGACAGTTAAAAGTTTAGTAAAAACCTTAAAAGCATACAATCATAGGGGCCAAGCTTTCGTCGGATCCTTCCGACATCCTCAGGGCACAAAGTTTTTACTAAACTTTTAACTGTCTTATATTCTCCTGGTGTTCGCATTTTTATTTTGTACCATATATATATATATTTCTGACTACTATCATTTCTGATCGCGCCCTTCCTTAGAACAGTGGAACAACGCTAGGGGGAGAAGGGGGGGGGGGTCGATCTGACATTTTCCAGCGTCCGCTTCTCTCCCACCCTCTCCGGATCACGCTGAGCAAGCCCCGGGCAGCCTCTCAGTTCTGGCACCTACCGGTGGCGAGCTTCTTCTCTCGCATGGTGCGGACGCGCGCCCGGGCTCTGCAGAAGCCCTGCTGTCTCCCCCCACGCCCACTCCCCCGAGTGGAGTTAAAGCCTCATTCTTCTCCGGCGAGCGCGGGGGAAAGGGGGAAAGAACAACACTCCTCCGCTGGGCCCGTTGAAGAGGCTGCCTGCGGCGAACTTCAAGCCGAATTTTGAGCGCACAAGACTTGCCAAGAGTTTGCGCTTGGCCCTTAGCCTGGTTTGTGTGGTCTCACGGCGAAGCTGGGTTGCTATGGAGCTGCGGGTGACAATGCGGGAGGGCAGTTGTTGACCCCAGGCAGGAACATTGGTCGTTAGCGGCAGAGCAGAGGCTTCCCCTCGACTACGCTGCCCAGCCGGATGAAACGAGGCAGAGAGAAGCCAACAATCGCCAGCTTGAAACAATCTGGAGACTTTCTCCCCGCTTGTAACTTTTCGAGAAGCAAAGAAAGGACGGAAGATGCGGCTTATGCTAGCCTTCCCTTCCGGCTTTCTCGGGCGAGCAAAGTTGCTTTCGCTCTGCTTGGCCAAAACTGGTGCCCGTTCTCCTCCCCCCCAACAATTGGCGAGTGCCCGGTGCAGTTTTAAAAGTTTGCGCATCCCGCTCCCTGTCCTCTCGTTTCTCTGGAAGCTGGGATGGTCATAAAGGCAGGTCTGGCAATCGGATGGGGAAAATACTAAACATGTTTATAGTTCCCACCAGGTACAATTTGGATCGTCTGGCTAAAGATGAAGGGAAATCTATGAATCTATTTTCCAACAGATGCCACTTCTATTGTGATGCGTTTGGCAATAGCTAATGCTGCTGCCTTGGTGACGATTATACTGTGCTGAATTCTTACCGGCGTTTATCTGGCAAGGCTCCCTATTACTAATGCTTAACAACAACCTTTTAGGTTAGTCCTGAGGGTCCAGAGGAATGGCTGCCGTTTGGACTTCCATTCTATGAATGAATTGTTTCTCTTCTGTTATTTTCATTATTTCCCATTCAAAGTTCTATACAATTTGTATGTCACCAGTACATATATTCACAGTGGACACCCATACAGACTTCATTTTTTCAAAGATCAACTTTTATGAGTTATTCTCATTCAAAGTTCTATACAATTTGTATGTCACCAGTACATATATTCACAGTGGACACCCATACAGACTTCATTTTTTCAAAGATCAACTTTTATAAGTTATTCTCAGATTTGTTTCAGTCTGAGCGATGCCTGTATGCATGAGGCTGATTATTGAAGTTGCAAGAAATATCATTAGATGTTTGCTAGATTATGACAGAATGAGAAATGAAGTCATGGTGGTGGATTTTGATAGCTTTAAAAGATTAGGTCAATTCAGGTAGAAAAAGCTCGAAATGATTGCTGGTCATGCTATGTATTACTTTCAGCAGCAGAAGGCTCGTGCTTCTCAATATCAGTAGGAAAAATGCGCTTATATAATTATATATTATGAAATATACATTATATGCTGTGTGCATATACAGTATAGACATTGGTGGGACAAAATGTTTTAGGTAGGATTTTAAGGGGGAATAAACTAAAAAAGAATGAGCATGGTGTTATTTTAGAAAGTTATAAATTGCCTGAGGATCATATTGATTTGAAATAAGATTTTGAAATTATTTGTAAGAATCCTTCCAAATAACTGTTTTGAATTCTGAAAAAATGATAAGATAGGACTTTGAAAGTTGGACATCAGAGGAAACAGGAAGAAACTAATACAATTAAAGGAGAAGTACATTAAACTCAATTTCCTAACATAGAATGGAGCAAAATATTTTAATATTGGACATGTTGAAAGACATTTGTAAACAATGGACTCAGAAACTAATTTTAAAAATCTCTGCCAATACAGATAGACAGTGTGTATATGATGTTATGGAAGAGATTCTACCAAACAACACTGAAATTTATTTGAATGTGATCTGGGAAAAGAGGATATATTGAATATACAAATGAAACCTGTTGATGTCTTAATAATTAAAAGGACATAGAAATAACAAGCCAGAAGAGTGACTTGGCTAACCTTCCTATATTGATTTAGTTTTGTTAAAATGTTGAAGATATTTGTGAGAAGTGACAAAGAAAAAAATAAATAAAGTTCTAGGACATCATTTGAAGGGATTAAAGACTAAGATTGTTAAAAGTAAAAAAATATGAAGTTAGTGTATTTGATCACAGTTAAAATAGATTTATTGCTATCTCTGTTAACTCTTAATGAACTTCTGCTGACCAGGACTGAAATAATATTTTACAGATTTGTTTACAGATAAGAGATAAAATATAGGGAAAGGAGATCATTTGTTGTATTTTAGGAGAAGGTGATAAATTACTAAAATTGCTTATAGTTGTGACAAAGGGGAAGTTCTTTATATATTTATTTTCTTTTTCTTTACTATATCCTTATTGTTCCTTTTTTATTTTTCTTTCTGTTCTTTTCTTTTCTGCACTTTTACTTTTTATTAGTTTTCATTTGTATTGTAATGTATTTGTAACATTTAATAAAATTATTGCAATATATGTGTGTGTATGTGTTAAACAATTATGAAGAAAAATATATATAAAGAAGAACAACAACCACTAATTCAGGATATGATTCACAGAGTTCTGAAAACCAAAGTAGGAATACCCCTGATTAAGCCATTCTAGTCTTCCCAGGATCATAACATAAACAAGGCAAGAACAGAGTTCTGGTTGAATATTTTATATCTAACAAATGCCCTTCTATATATGCTGGTCCTTTTGTTTCAGACAGATGTTTGGCAGTTGCAGAGACCAAGGTCATTTTAGTCCTAAACATCCAACTTCCATCCTCTTGCTTTCAGGTCTTTTACATGATCTCACTGAAATAAACCAAGACCTCTCTGAGTAGTAAGTTGTAACTGATAGCCAAAGAAAACATATTTTAAATATTAAATACACTCCGAATATAGTTGGCAGGAAGGGCTGGAATATGAATCTATGTTGCTGAGTTCACAATTGCCATGAATAAACCTTAGAACAAGATTAAAAATAGGTATATTTCTGAAAATGAATCTTTGTTGTCCCCTAGTGGTGAAATCCAGCATATTTCAAAAGAGAAACTCACAGAGCTGCACTGTAGAGTGTCAGATATCAAACATCAGGGGAGTAAAAGATATTTGGTTCTCTGAGCCTATTTATTGCAGATCCTCCTACATGCCTCTCAGCACAGGCTTCCCTGAAGATCCAAATTCAACAATGAAAAAATGCCCTCAGTTTCTCACAAGATCTTCTGGCAGCAGCTTAAAGAACTCAGAGGGAGAGTGTGGGTGTTTTGTTGTCTGGTTTATATCACTTGAATTCATATGGCATGGATTCGGTTATAATTAATTTCATTCTAGTCATGGAAAAGCACAAGCAACTGGAACCAAGATATTTCCATGCTGTGACAAAACCTTTTTGGAAGGGATTCTTTATTTGGCTTGTTCTTCTTATCCCATTTGTATGGTATTCATTATTAATTTGATTGTTGCATGTGTCCAGCCTGCTTATGGGAGGGCGAACAAATTGAAGCTTAATCGTAGATAAAACAGAGATCCTCTAGTTGTCAATCAGACAGATTAGGAAGATTCAGCTTTCACTGCATAGAATTACATACTCCTTGAAGATTCAGACATGCATTCTGGGTGCCCTCCTGGATTCTATTCTCAACCTGAATGCTGAGATTTCAGCTATGGCCTGGAATGAATTTGCATATCTCAGCTCAATATGCCAAATGCGGCCATTCTGATGGATTTCCAATGGGGTCTTGATGAAGCAGAGCTTAGTTGTATATGGAATGGACCATTTTTACCCTTCATGGACCACTTAAAGTATCCAAGCTGCAACTAATCCAGAATGTTGCAATCAGATTGTTGATAGGAGTCAAAGGTAGGGTATACAGGGTCCTCATTTAGCAACCAGTCCCAGTTATAACAGGGATGAAAAAATAGCTTTGTGACCAGTGCCCAGATTTACAGTCTTCACAGCATCTCTCTCAGCCACATGTTTGCCATCAGTCAGTTAACACACACTGTCCTGTATAAAATCATAAACATGGTCATGGGATTTTTCACTTAGCAACCCTTTCACTTAACAACTGAGCTGTTAGTCAAATTAAAACTAACAACTTCAGCATGCAATGGGTACTTGTCATGGGTACTTCTACATCCATATATGGTTAATGAGATTGTTAGCATGATCTATTCTAGAAGATGAAGAGGTTGCACATGGGTAAAAATACAAATAGAGAACCAGTCTTTGGATTAAACACTGTGCTTTGTTTTGTTAAAACTAGATAGTCCATCTTGTCAAGTGAAATATGTGACTTTACAGGCACAAAAATTGGGCAAGTTAGCTTTAATGGAAATAGACTGGGGTCAAATTTATATTCAGAAGTTTCATTAAAAATTACTGACATATGTTTATGATTTAGCTTGAACAATATGCTGAGTTGATTTAGGGCATGTAGAACACACAATGCAACAACAAATCTGAAGGTTAAAATCAAGCCAAGCCAAGCATGTTTTGTACATATATTCCTTGGAATGCTTATCTGGCATAAATAAGCATATAGTTGAACCTAGTAAAAGTTGGCTGAGCCCATGAGATGTTACATATTTACAACACAAGCATCTGTCCTTCCACTGCTTGCAAAAGCAGATATCATTACAAAAACACCATTGGCACAATGTGGCCATTACCCAAATGTAAGCTTGGCAAATCATCCCATAAATTATATGACAACATTTTACAGTTCACATGACATTTTGGTGTTGCCAGAAGAACCTATTAAAAACTGAAGCCCTGTAATATTCATTACCGTGCCCTCAATAACTCAAACTACATCCCTGTTTCATGACTATGCAAAGATAAACCCTGTGCATTCATTTCCTGAGAAATTTGTTGGAACATTGGGCTGACAAAATCACAAGGAAAGCTTCCTGTTGTGAGGCTTAAGATTTTGCTGCTTCTCCAGCAATCACAGAGGT